ACTACATACATATCATTCAGCTCATGAGTACCGCCTCAGTACTTTCTGAAACACATAAGCTTGAGCTTTCTTTCAAGGAGGGATGTTGGTTACCTCACAGTACTATCTGCTAACTTGTGTTTCTATTGTCTTCGACCTGATAGATTAGGCTGCTGATTTTATCGGTCATAAGGCAGACAATATTTTAGTTAACGTTTCTTTTATACGTCATCAGACGTACACCCTTTGTATACATTTACATAGGTACATAAGCATACATATCAGGTGGCCCGCTGCCTCCAAATAAGCCTTGAATGGAATCCGAGTTGATCGAACATACAACAGAGTGATTAGTCAATCCGATTTCCATCGACCGCCTAAATTTATTACCAAGGTTGCCCATACTATCCAGCATCAACGTGAAGGGGTATTGGGTCAGATTTTTCGGTCAAAATCACACCTGCCTAAGCCATATTTTAACAAAGTAAAAAGCCCGACAGATATGACCTACAAAACTCCTCATCTCTTTTGGACTTACTCTTCATACTCGGTGATGATATTACTCATATGACTTTTATCCCATCTAATTGATCATGAGACCATCGTATTCAAGATCATGGATAGGGTTGTTTGTCAAACAATTGCGCCGGCCCTTATTGACATACAGAAGTCAGACATAAAGCCACTCAACTCTTCAGTCCGGTCTAAAAATCGGAAAACTGACTCAGGTGCATCAGCAGAAGAGTCTTGGACATTTAGTGAGCCCATTCAACCATCTCATTATTTATCTACTTGCTGTTATTAAGACATTTAATCAACAAGGAAAAATTACGTGTGAGTCTGATTGGGCATGTCTGCACATCAATCTTAATCTATAGAAATTAGCGTCTACATCCTCACTTGCGGCAGTTATGTAATCAAGGAGCTCAACAATTTACACCCTGGATGGTCTCAAATAAGAAATAACAAACCGTGATTTTTGATGTCTACTAAGACAAAAGAAGAAATGTCGGAACGTCTCCATAATCTTTGGTACAGCAAACACGATGGAACGCTACAGCTCAGTACAAAACAAATGTGTAAGTGCAATCCGAGCAGCTCAGTGAAAATGTGAAAAGCAGTAGACGCAATTTATAATAAAGCGACCAAAGGGACTGTTTTCGTGCATAAATTTCAGAACGAGAACTCATCATTTTATTCTCAATATAACTGTTTGAAGGCGTGGATGTGAAATGACAGGGAAAGATCGGGACAAGACATAAATCATGGTAAATCATGTCGGGACAGTTTCCATTCAGAAGACTCTTTTAGACGAAAAACTAGACTGAAATATACAGTCGTGAAGTCGGCTCCTCACCAATGACCCTTAGCACTTTGGATACGGACAAATCAACGCCGCTGGGTGAACTACACTCTGAAATTGTGGGACAAATGGCGTGATGTATTGCTAGCCAACTGACTGCGATATTCAAAATGTCACTTGATTAGAGTGAGTAATTAGCAGGCTGAAAATTGTCTTGGAATTATGGAAGATAACTCTATTCTTAACTATTAACGTATAAACTGTGAATTTCATGCCATATGATAAGTTCTGAGTTCAACTTACAGTATTTATGATCATATTCATACAATAATTCATAATCATATAATTACATATATTCATTTTGACTATACGATCAAACTATACTTTGAAACCGTATATAATCATATTTGACGAAGATTTGCATTTCATATCTGTATTCTATTTCTTAAGGAATATATGATTATATCGTATTTGAATGCTTTAACCCACGTACTTTATGTATCTACAGGATCTATTCAAACCTCTACCTAATATCAAGAAATATATATAACCGTGTATGTTAAAGGACTGTATTCACTATTTTATTAACTATCATTTAAATCGTATTTGGATACTATAAATTATTTCATTTCCGAAATTACCTGTCCAATTCGGTGAGTCTGTCATAGTTTGTTTTTTTGACAGTGTTTTTTTCCAAAAAGCTGTTTCATATATTTGTTCAAGAAGCAACATAATAACTTTAGACGGTAATAATCTTCTAAACTACTTATCTCTGCACCTCCCAATTTTTACTAATACGGACTTTCAGTTTATATATGTATCACATACCGTACTTTTTTTGATTGTTTGATACTAATTATCGACATTTCTAAATTACTTTACTATATAAGGCTATCTTTCGTGTCATATATGTTAAAATTTATACAACTTGCTCCTTTATATTCTATTTTGCCTCCACACAGATACTGACATAAATACTTCATCTCCACTACTATCTTCCTGCCATTGTCATCTTTTGTTTTTAACACCACTAATCCTCACGATACATTCACTCTTGGTTAAAACATAGATTTTGATTTTTAGACTAACTTGAGCCCTCGGAATTGATTTTTTCACCCCTATTTCCAACATTCTGTTCAAACCACTTGCTATACGTCACTTTATCATGTCACAAAAGAAAATGAAGACCCCTGCTCCTAGGCGTTCAGCCAAACGTAGGAAAACGACACAATTTAACACCTCTACCGATACGATTTCCAACAGTTTCAACGAGACGTGCCACTCCGTTCATCCGGAAGCAGACAGGCTTTTACCAGTTGTCTCCATTCCAGACATGTTGAAAACTCTGATGGTAAACAGTGATGATAATCGCAACTGCAACTATATGGATGCTATAAAAAGGTTGCAAGTAGACATGAACATTCTCAATCCGCTTAAATATCTCATCAACCCCAACCTCACAGAGACTCCAGATCAAATGAATGACATAAATATTTTCCTAGATCGTGTTGCATCAGAGGTATTTGAAAGAATAAGACGATCTAGCAATGCAATTGTGTTTAATATACCGGATACACATGCCCTTAAAAATATCAAATCTAGTCTGCTTAGAGCCAGCAATATGACACACGTACCATGTGTATGCACAAGATTAAAAAGAAGTCATCCTGGTATGCACTCACCGATCTTGTTCAAATTCAACTCATCTGTAGACGCCAGTGAATTTTTAAATTCCTCCAATTCATTGAGACAAAAACAGATTTTCAAGGATATTAAGACTCTTCCGGATAAAACACCATGCCAGCGAAAAGCAGGAAGAGATAACTACAGACCATCAGCTTCAAACTCTCAAACGCATCATAATCCTAATGGTTGTAACGTTAAGTCCGATTCTAAGAGGACGTCTAGCTTAACAACTTTGCCGCCACCAAAAAACTCTTCTGAATCTCATAAAGTTCAAAACCCAGAAGAAAGTAATCCCGATGTAGGTGGTGTCCATCCTCTTAAGAATGTTGACTTAGATTCAACCCGAAGTAGTTGTGCTGATGAAGAATGGGATAACACAATCCAAACCCCTGTTAGTGCAACACCCAGTTACAGTAACTGTGCAACGGATAACAGGAAAACTAATCATAACATTCATATAACTGACCACGCACTTAACGTTGATATATTCGAACCTCGCAAACCATCGCAAGTATGTTTAACAGTACACAATCCTCTCCAACTTATGAAGAAGCCGAAATCAACCACAAACCTTGGAAATAAACGTCTTAAACACGTTACCCATACGTCAGGTATAAATAGTTATCTGAATTGTAATTGGCCACTTGGTCACAACCATAGACCTGATAGCCTTCTTGGTCCGGCTCCCAATATGTACAGTATGCCCTTATCAGATGTTATATCCAATAGCAATGAAAAATTTTTTTTTGTAATTCCGCCGGCTTTCCTGCCGGCAACGGTAAACATATTTCACATGATGACAAAGTGGTTGAATCTATTTCCCCTCGCAACACGACTCTTACCTTAGCTAATCCTATGAGTATTCATGGAACTACCAATTGCGATTTATACTCTAACCTGCTTCACTATGATGACTCTGAGTTTCTTATTCTTTCGTTCAATGCCCGCTCTCTGTCTAATAAAATTATTCATCTTAAAACTCTTTTATTCCTTGTTAATCCAACCATTGTACTTATTACGGAAACGTGGTGTAATTCATCTATATCCGATCATTCCTTGAATGTAGATAACTACGTTTTCTTTAGAACCGATAGATGTTATGGAATAGGAGGCGGTACAATTATCTATGTCCGTTCAGACATTCAAGCGTGCAAATTTGAGGATAAATCCCTTGATGCTATAGACGACTCCACTTGGGTTACTGTAAACTGTGGATCCCAAAATTATTTACTTGTGGGATGCATATATAGACCACCTCATGCGGATACTAAGTTTGACAAATTACTAACAAACATATTTTCCATTGCTTCGCACCAACCGCATACTTTTAAAATCATCGGAGGCGATTTTAACCTGCCAAAAATTAAATGGGGCTTGACTCCGGTACCAGGTCGATATAACAAGCTAGTTGAAACATTAGAAATTTGTGGATGGGTTCAACAGGTCCGAAAACCAACCAGGGGGAATAATACACTTGATTTAATGTTCACAATCAACATAGACTCTATCTCAGTACATACCAGTCATGAGTTTTTTATGAGTGACCATAGAGTTGTATTGGTATTATTCACTCTTTAAACGCCATACAATTGAACTCTAAAGCTTCATTGATGTACCAAAGCAGACATTTTGATCAACAAACATGGAAACGGACTGGAACTCTCATTCAATGTTTACCATGGGAAACTTATTTTACCACAAATAATGTTGACATTGCGCTTTCCAATCTATACCACAACCTGATATATTGTCTTGACTGCACTGCTCCAGTTATTGGCCGTGTGGCTTATAATGCTAATAGGGGCCAAAATACTTTTAAAAGAAAGCTGAGGAAATTAAAATGCCGCTACTACGAGCAGAATGATGTGTATGCACTTCAGAGTATACTTAAATTAATCAACAGAAATGCTTCATCTAAACGTAAGTATTTTATGAATATAGAAAATAAAGCTCTACGTAGTAAAAGCCCAGAATTATCAATACTTCGGCTTTTTAAATCCCGTGTAAAGTCAAATTCCCTTGGCACGACTAAATTCTTCATAGTTAACGGAAGCATTGTTAACGACCCGAATACTATATGTGAACAATTCAGCAAGCACTTCTCGCAGTGCTACAAAACTGGAACTGGAAACTCCATCATTACATTTCCAATGCTGACATCCAGACATCTGTCGAAAATTGATTTTACACCCTCCAACATCAAGCAGGCCATAGCTGCCCTGAAAAAGTCTTATGATGGTGGACCTGACGGGATACCTTCATCATTTGTGAAATATGGAAGTAGAGAATTTCCACTATTTTGTTTGAAACTTTTCAATCTATCTATGGAATATGGGACCTATCCATCTGTATGGAAAACATCCCTTATCACCCCTAGATTCAAAACAGGACCACGTAGTGATATTATTAACTATAGGCCAATTAATTTGACATCCGTGCTATCAAGAACCATGGAAAAAATCATCCACAAACAGCTACTATCATTTTTACTTTCGGCTAGTCTGATCAGCCCATCCCAACACGGGTTTATGACTAAACGCTCATGTTTCACATCGCACCTGGAGTTTTTTGATCAAATTACCCAGAAAAGAGATGTTGGTCAGTCAGTGATAATTCTTTACTTCGATTTTAGTAAGGCTTTCGACAGTGTCTCACACAAACTTCTTCTTTTAAAACTCTCTTCATTTGGCATACAGAATCCCCTTTTATCTTGGCTCAAATCTTTTTTAGAAGAACGTAACCAAATCGTTCGCTTTGGATCATGCTACTCTAAACCTGTGAATGTAACCAGCGGGGTTATACAAGGAAGTGTGGTTGGTCCATTACTCTTTCTCCTTTTTATCAATGATGTGTGTTCCCTCTTTCAGTATGGTAAGCCTTTTCTTTTTGCTGATGACCTGAAAGTAGTTTATTCGTTCTCTTCTCCCATGAAAGAAAGCTATATTTCAGCGGTAATCCAAGAGGAAATAAACAAGTTGTACGAATGGACTATTTCGTGGAATATGCCACTTAATGTTGACAAAAGTGGATTTATTCACATTGGTCGCTGTCTTAACTTAAATCTGACTGTACAGACACATACACTCAAACCTCTTAACACTGTTCGTGACCTGGGTTTAAGATATAGCAACAGTCTGAACTTTTCTGAACACATTATATCTCAAGTATCCAAAGCTAGAAAGCTCATCGGATTGATAATGATAAACTTCAATAATATCGAATCGAGATTGTTACTATACAGAAAATGTATCTTACCCATTCTTGAATATGGTATTTTAGTTTACAGTAATTGTAGACATACTGATCTGATTAGAATTGAAGGTGTTCAAAGAAGGTTCACTAAAGCTGTTCTGCGGTATTCCGATAACAAAGACTATTACCAAAGATGTCAACAACTCAACTTAGAGCCTCTTTGGATCAGACGTATCAAATTAAATCTTGTCTTTATCTACCGGCTTATTAACGGTATTTCCTACTCTTCGGTATCCACCCCTTCATACCTTATGATATCATCCCACAATCTACGCAATAAGGAGAATATTCTAGCGATTCCAAGAACCCACACAAACTTACGTCAGAATTTTTTCCTTATTCGCTACTCAACCATGTGGAACAGACTGCCAGTGAACCTCCGTTGCAGTGAAACTACAACCCGGTTCAAAAGTCTCCTTGACGATTTTCTTTCCGAAAGTGGATTATGTCACCTATTGAATATCAATGTATTCAATAATGATTTATACAAACAAGGTCCGTCATCCATTTAATTGCTTGAAAAGCAAAATAAAACCTTTAAATCTTTCCACATCTATTTTATTTTATTTCTATTTATCTTAATATATGAAATCTGATTATGTTCGTGTTTATCATTATTTCCGTTATTAATATCATTATTAGTTCCCTGACACATTAGATATTCTTTTTGTATCTTCTTATCCTTCTAAACATATTTAACTCCAGATTGTCCTTTAAAATCAATTTTGACTTTCATAGCATCAATCTTAATTATTATTGCACAAATATTTATACTAATATCCGGTTTCACTCTGTATACTATTACATAAATCTAAATGTATTCATCCGAGTGCATTAACGGATTTTTATTTTATTTTTCTAAATTGTTGGTTTCCTTCTGAGGTTGATATTTATTACACAATTATTATTCTTATCATGGATCAAAACTTTTCACTAGGTGTTCACTTCTTTTCACTCCATTCTTTCCCTCTAAATAAATATTCTTAAGATTAAGAAGTTTGTATTTAATACAATAACTTGTGTTACACTTAAATTAAATTCTCAGACCCGTTTTATCTTCACTATGCATATATGACTCATACATATTGATATTTTATTATCCTTTTCATTTAATTGTAACTTTCATAGCATCACTCCAAACTATGACTGCACAAACATTTATTCTAGCGTCATATCTTACTGCAATTATAAGTTATTTTTTCTTAATTATTTTTTGTTACTAATTTAACGATACACACATAGTCGTTTATTCTTGTTCTGTGTTCGTAAACACGCCTATTAGACTGTTTGCGTATTTCACGTCTCCTTTATTTCTATTCCCTTATTTTCTCCATTTCCTTCTTTAAACTCAATTCAATATTCTTCTCAATTGCACAGACCCGATTTATTATTATTAATATTCTACTATTATTGCTCAAAATTTTTTTTTAAATGGCAAGTAGAATGCTGACATTATTGAAAATTGTGTATTATTGCATTTTTTTGAAGAAACCCGAAATGGTTTCTTCACAACACTTATGTACCCATAAGATGTTTGTGAATAATAATAATAATAATAATAATAATAATAATAATAAAAATAATAATAATAACAGGATAGTAAAAATAATATTCAAGACAACAATTGTTAGTCTCATCAGTGTCGTAAATATAACACTGGGTAGAATAAAAAAAGGTCACAATGACATTCGTGAAATCCAACAAATTGTCAAACACCAAACAACATTATTTCAGGAAAGGATAATCTTGTACAAGAAAGCTCATTATATCAAGAGAGCAATAGACAGAAGATCCGAATAACAAGACATCATTGGATATTATGTACATAAACTATAGTAAAGCATTTGATAAAGTGCTGAAAAGCAGACCTCTATTTTAGCGAGAATGTTCAGGAGTTTCAGAACCTCTCTTACAGTGGATCAAGGATTGCTTTATGTGTTATAAACAGAAAAAAGAATAAATTCGAGATGCCTTCCATTGGATTCAGTACTTACTGGAGTTCGTAAGGTCACATCTTATTTTCTTTGCCTCTTAAACTGTGTAAATTCTCTCCAAGTAAACTTGAGGCTCCGACAGTACTTTACGCTGATGATGTAGATTATATTATATTATATACTATTTGATGTGAAATAGTATGAGACGAGAACTCATATTCACTTCAGGTGGACTTAGATGTTGTTACTAGATATTCTAAAAGGTGATTGATGCCTATCAGAGCGAACAATTGTGTCCTGAGTGTCTTGAGCACAAATCAAACCGAGATTGAGATGCTTTTTTCTATTTAAAGGAAAACATTTCATTTCACCTAGCTTATATTAAGACACTATAAATTAATTGAGAATAAAGTTGTTGAACTCATCACTTAATTGTCCTACAATTTTCTGCATTACTGGTTCCATGTTGGTTGGCGAAATAGCTTTATTGACCCATAAACTACATATGGCTTTTCACGCTCACATTATTGGATATAGGTCAGGTGTCTATTTGCCGAATAAGGAACGAGTGTATTGCGAAAATCCCCTTCATATAACATTTTAACCATGACAACTGGTTTATAAAGGCGAAAAACATACATAAGCTACTGCTTTTTATTATCATGAGTGCCGTCGAAGCATGCTTGTCATTTAATAATAATTAATGTACACTTTGCTTTTCAATTAAATTTATAAATGGCCATCAAACAAATGTAAAAAATAACTCGCCAAGAATTTTGTCATTATCCGGGATTAAATTATTTTAAGTCGTATATTAAATGGAACTACAATTTGTGATCCTACATAAATGATCATTTGAAGAAATCAATGAGTTTAAGTGACGTTTAAAAACGGTGACTTTTATGAAAAAATCTCACTCAAATTGTAAATATGTCTCTAGGTTGGGAATAACGCTGCATATTTTACTTCTGGGATTTTAGTAGTTGAATATATCAGCATGACTAGGTCTTGTTAAATCATGTGCTAAATGGCTTCATGTTATGAAGTTTAGATTAAATGACCCGAAAGCAAAACCACAGTTGTCAACTTATTTTCAGTGTTGAGATTTCGCTTGTTTGTGTTATAATCCAATGCTTCAGACTAGAAACTATGGTTTACAACATATTATTATTTTGTTTGGAGTTTTTTTCACTCCAAGCACCCTGTCATACGTTATGTAGAACGTAGCTGGTATATATTTGAAAGAAATATCAACCAAAGATACCAATATTACTGTTGACAATACCTGTAGACTTTGTTATTCATCCGTATCGATTAACTATTATTTTCCAATAGAAGCTAAAGCAAATTACTATTGATATTCGTAAATTCTTATACTGAATAAAGAATTAAGCTATTTTCAAACGGAAAGTTGAAGATACTACAAATACTTAGGATTTACCTGTGACTTGACATTTCGTTGAGCTTTACTACAGTTGTTGGGATCACAGATCAAATTACAAAGCAACAACAGAGCCAAAGTGTACACTACAAAACAGAGAATGTTAAATTAATGCTTTTGGTGTTTATTTCGTGCTTTTTTATACAGCATAAGATGACTTATATATGAAAAAACTTGATACTCATACAATCCAACCAACCCACGGCAAGTGAAATACAGAATAACCGCCTCTAGTCAGGCCGTTCAAGGTCGTTGAAACGAAAGGGCGGGCACATTCGAAGGGACCTAACGTTTAAACCGTGCCAGATATTATTTCTAACCCCAAAACTTGGTTGTAAGTCAACTGCCAGGGTGTCCTATGTGATGTAAACAACCTGCAGTAAAACAATTCTCTACAAATATTTGAAGTCTAATTGTTCCCAGAACATGATTCCCTACCAACGCAGATTACTGTTTTTAACACCGGCCTATCCTGAAAATAAAAGTCTCGTCGCACCTTATCTTCTAGAAAAGAAATGCTGATCACTTAGAACAAGTTCCAAAGAGTGAAACGAAGCAGATCACTGAATTCGGGAAAGAAATTACAGAAAGATCGACCTTACAATCTGGGATTACTTCCGCTAGGTTATAACAGAATAACAAGAAAATTTAGTACGTTGCATGACATAATATGCAACCCGAACCACATCTCCCTGAAACCCACCATTCTAACCCAGGATATACTGCTCCATTAGTCGTAGACCAAAAAGATAATATACAGACGAATTATCATCGCCTATTTAATATAAACCAGTCTAATACGGAAACCACTACCAGATGACATCAAGAACGCCATGTATAAGTTAGGCTCGAAAGACACACTCGATCTGCCGTCCTACCCATGGGAGTGTATGAAGACTGATTGTCCTGACGGATAGTTTTTTTGCAATCAGTTTTCCTACAACACCAAAAAGCGTGTTTTACCCACCATAGTTTATTAGTAACACTAATTTCATCTACCCAACCTCATCTCTCAGAACGTCCGTTTATTTTTTCATTAAAAATCCACATATTAAGAATTAGAACGACATATACAAGCGAACAATATTGTTTTAAATTATAAATATATATATATGAAAACATAAACACTGATACATATTCACTTCATAACAATAATGGGGAGGTAAGGATAAAGAGAATATTAAATGCGTATGATAAAAATAATAACAGTGAACAGAAGTTAAAGAAGTTACGTCCCCTTTTATGAAGTTAAGATAGAGCGGGGTGACCACTGGCTTCTATTCTGAGCCATATCTGATAACGTCTCTAGCCACTGTGTTGCACCATATCTCGGGCCCCAGCCAGGGAGTCGTGAAGGGTCAACAGAAGCCAGCCCTTTGCAGCTTTCTTTCATACTACGACACCATGTCATGTACTGACCACCTCTCCGCTTTTTCCAATCAGTCCCAGAGTCGGCAAATAATGCGCGACGTGGAATTCTCTGAGACGACATTCGTAGAACATGTCCAAGCCACCGAAGACGGTGACACAAATTGCATTATCGTCACTGTGCCCGAACACACGGTGCGGAACCTCTGCATTACTGGCATGGTGTTGCCACTGGATGTCAGCAATCCTTCGGAGACAACGATGATCGAACACAGAGTCGTCTAACATCCTCAACTCGGAAAGGCCAGGTTTCACAAGGATAGAGGAAAACTGCTCTCACAGTCGCGTTGTAGATCCGACCTTTTACAGCCAGACTAACATCACGAGGGTGCCAAAGATGGCCCAGATTGGCATAAGCCGCTCTGGCTTTCACTATTCGTGCATTGACCTCATCACTCACACCCCCACCAGCACTTATGCAGCTACCCAGATACACGAACTTCTCAACTACTTCAATCTGCTCACCATCCAGGGTGAGTACAGGATTAGAACCCTGCCAGTCTTGTAGAAGTACTTTGCACTTCGAAGGTGCAAAGCACATACCATACCTACGGACACTGATTGCCAACTGATTAAGTGAGGATTGAATGGCTTGGGCATTATCTCACAGTAAGACAATATCATCCGCATACTCAAGGTCGAGAAGTCTTTCTGCAAGCAGCAGATCCACGCCGCCATTACTTACATCCATCATAGCTGTTCCCAGAATGTCATCGATGGCAAAGTTGAAGAGGAATGGTGAGATTGGGAAACCTTGCCTAACCCCACTGCTCGAATGGAACAATGGAGAGAGGTGGTTGTATGCCCTCACTCTACCTGAGGTGTTTGTATATAGGGCTTTTAGGATGTTAATAAACTTCTCAGGCACACCCTTCTTCAATAGACAATCCCAGAGAACAGTCCTGTCCAACGAATCGAAGGCAGCCCTGATGTCAAGAAACACTACGATTGTTGACCTTTGATAAGTATGGCGGTGTTCTAACATTTGGCGGAGGGTGAAGATGTGATCAATACATCCCCGACCAGAACGAAACCCAGCCTGCTCCTCGTGAGTCAATCTTTCACGGGTTCTGAACAACCTACGAAGTATGGCGGAAGCCAATAGCTTGGAAGCAATCGGAAGTAGACTTATCGTTCGTTAGTTGTTGTAGAAAGTAAGCCCTTAAATAGAGAAACAACTGCCGACTGATCCTACAATGTTAGATCCATATATTACCGCGTATTAACGCCTGATGAGAAACTAATTGAAAACAATATTGTTCACTTGCATATGTTATCTTTTATTAGTTCAAGAAGTCCTCGAGCCATCTGTTGCTTAAATCAATTACTAGTAATGTGTGACAGAGTTCACTAACAATCATTCGACAGGTGAGACTACATTGTTTTCAAGCGAAAAACTAGACATGTAATATTTTATTCTAATCTATGGCGTACAATAACCACGTATTCAGTGTCAAAACATGTGGATAAAAGCATTATAGTTCACCGCCTTAGAATCTTATTAGTTTTGATGGTGAAGTATACTTAGGATGGTTAGCAATCTGGCCAATGAACCAGCAGCAAAATTATATGCACTAGTTGGTGAAATACATCTTCAAATAAACTACTTGATTAATTATTCTCGGATCTACGTGGAATCATATTGAGTAATCTTGTCGACAATCATCCTGATTTATAGTACCTAATCGTTGGGAATTATTGAGTTGTCCTTTGCCAAACCCACTTTGATTATTAAGGAGTTCCTAATACTTATTATAACAACAATTTAGTGATCTTTTGTATCATCTTACAGCGTTAGGTATGGATGTGAAAATGATTTGAGAAATGAATACGTATCGCCGTATGTATTCACTGGACTACTGCAAACATATATAGTCAATATATTGTTGCAAAAAAAAACAAAAAAAAACAAGACACTGAAAGTAATACGCATATTGATTGTATAAGCAGTCACAATTTTCGAACTTAAATAGCTAGTATTTAATCGCTGAAATATCATGCTTCAACAACTCAATGACAATGACATACAGATAGATTGAATTAAACGGATCTACGCCACCGAGGGCCGATGAAAGGTCTGATTAGGACCAGACAAACTGGTTGTCCCAAAGAGTTAACGGAGTTTAACTACAAACTCCTAAATCGTAGAGTATATTCAATGCTAATATCCTAAGATTTGGGGTAGTGGGTGATATATGCTATTTATTTGCCCGTAAGTATTATTACCACCATAAAGATACAAATATAGAATTACTACAAGCAACTGACTAAATGGAATTTGCTAGACAAGATATTGTGTAATCTAAATAGTGGAAAGACTTGCAACAACAACAACAACACCAAAGAAAATCTTGATGGGAAAAGTGTACTACTGTATTTCTGTCTAGTTATATTCATGTACATTTAAATAAGGCTAATTACAAATCAGAATTCCCTTCATACAAAAATTAAATACTAATTTCACAAAAGATGCTTCATGAAAAGATTCAAACAGTACTCAAGAACGATAATAAGAATGATAAATAATGAAATAGCCCTTTTAAATGGTTCTTTTCGAACACAATTATAGACGTTTTTGGAAAGTAGAAATATCACGAGCTGCAACATAAGCTAATAACGTTCTAGCAGTTTGTTTAGCTTCCAAATAGTGTCGAGCATCAACCAACCAATCATTTGCAACAACACGAGATTGACCACGCAACTGACCCAACAATCGTACAGCTGTTTCAAGTTCTTCATCACCAGATGTATTTTCGTCACCTGAAAAGATATTATGGTCGCTAGCCATAGCGAATTTAGCACTAGATAACAACTGAAATGAATCTGTTCTTGAGTCCGTTTGTTTCATTGTATCATAATCTTTAATGTATTGAACATAAGGACTACCAATATTTGGTTTAATACGTGAAATCGCTTCCAAACATTTATATTTCACATCTACGATTAATATAGACTGTAGCCATGATAAAGCATATTCCCATAGTGAACCACTTGTTTCATCAATTAATGCGACATTTCTGCAGACGTTATATACCTTAGAAAACAAAAAACAGCAAACGGTACAAAACAAATGTAGTCTTTACGAATAATCTAATATGTAATCATTACAAATGCGAAATGAATGAAAGGGATTTGTTGATATTTCACAAACGAAATTCGCCTTTGAAATATAACCTACAAATCTAATGATATACGTGTGTGAATAGTCCATGATAGGCTCAGTTATAAATAATAAAACTAGAATATATCAGTTGCCTTGAAAAGGTCTAAAGTAAAAAAGCATCTGAAAAATCAAGACTATGTCCAGTCGGACAAAAAAGTAATTTAATAAAAGAAATAATTGACCCAGTTCGACTTGCCAGCCAGTCATTGATTATCGACATAGAGCCTTGCAAATATTTGCGTTGGTTCAAGTTCCCACACCACATTAGCACGATGATATGAAATTAACAAGATGAATTGCGAAAGAGATAGAAATAATGTAGTAGCAGTGACAGTGAGAAGAACCAAATATTTGATATATGGATTGAGAACATTCAGTTGAAGGATATACATATGAGGAAAATATGGGATTGCAAATCAACAGGAAGATAAAGAGTGAATGTACCTGTGGCACTGTAAACTACTTTAGACCACATCATACAATCTCCAATCTCAGATCGCCATCATTGCACGAACTTCAACTAGGTAATCTGCATCTCTCAGGATGGTATAGATCAGTAGTCAATGTCTTCATGGACTGATCTCATGTATTGATTTGGTCAATTTATTCCAGTTCGCTTTTATCCCAGGTCAAATAAAGCCTTATCACCAGTCCTCGTTTTCTCACTATGCGTCTCCAAATTCAGGACCTCAGTACAAAGTACAAGCCAGTTAAGCATTCAGTAGACATAACAGTGTCCGACATAACACATATGGAATATGGCAAGTCGACATTTTTAGCAATCGCTTTGATAAAGATTTAAAAACAAATTTTGAAATTGACGTGACAGATGGAGATGAAACACATCCAACCCTGTACAATATATATTATTAGTATGCATAAAGTACCATATAACTCTACAATGAAGACTGTAATTAACATTCAAAATATATAATAACACTTCCATAAAGCAAACGAGTAAGTCGATTTCTCAATAAAGTTGCTTTGATACCGTTTAATCCGAACACACAAAAACAAATGAATGAGACATTTTGGAAAAGTTGTTTTTTTAAGTGAGTTATATTATAAATACATGAATGTTGCTTTACAATGGTCAATGTAAGATATACAATGATATTTTCCTAAAAACGTTCAAGCATCTTGGTTGAAGGAGACAAGTAGGCACGGAAACCAGCTCTGTAGAACAATGAGAGGTAATTTAAAATTCACTCGCAATTACTTATTGATAATGAAACCATTGTTACAAACAATTTACTTTAATATACAAGCAGTGGTGTAGGGGCTTAAACACAATATTCAACCATGAAACCGCAAGTTCGAACCCCGCTAAAGCAAAATCGATCTAGGCACCTGGGTAACAGCACTAATTCATACATATATATGTAAAACACAGTAAAGACTAAACACGCAAATTGGCACTTGGTTGCTGAATTACAAAAAACTTAATTATTAAATCCTTCTATAGCCATAATATTTATAGATGTCATAAGATATGACAAAAAGTAATGACATAATCTTGTAGCGGCATATTTGTCTTCAAGCCGGGCCTTCAATGTGTTAAAACTGGTTATTAGACAATGGTAACACATGGTTCGGTCTGCACACATGACAGACGATGGCAAAACTTTATGAAATGTTTACTAAAAAAAGTTTTGGTTTCGCATCGACAGTATTTTGGGGAATAGTGGATTCAAAAGGCGGTATGATGGAAACGATGTTTCAATTATTAAAATGCGAGTCAATGAGCATGACTTAAGTCATATGAATATCTATTCAGTCTTAAGTAATAACCGAATTCAAGGAATCAAACACGAAAAATCCACTTGAATTATTTAAAAAACTGTAAAAAAAAAGATAGAAATTCACCTTTTCGAACCTCTTCTTCAATCCATTGTCTGTCCAAACTCCATTTTCCACTATATCAGAAGATAGACTGTCTAGAATTATGTTGACAAAAGGGTAATTTCCAGAAGCGGCGCATTCACGAATGGAATTGACAAAATCTTTTAAAGATCCAGTTTGACTCAGTAGGACCGAATCGCTTTTCGTCTCATGGTGAGATTTCATTGACGGGCTAACTGAATGCAATCGACAGGCTAAAGCTTCACATGACAGCCATAATGATTGTGCTTCTTTAGCTAACCGATCTAGATCTGCTCTTCCTGAAATAGGAAAATTAATGTGTGATGAGTTGCTAATAAAGCACATGTTGAAGAGAAAAGAGAAAGACGTAAGGAATGAACTACGTGCCAACTATTGAATTTTAAGCTGTGCTAATACATAATGGAAACGATACAACATACAAGTTGATATCCACGTACGATCCCGTTTATTGAATTAAGGAGTCAGAATTGTAAAGCAACAGAAAATAAAGTTTAAAATCTGATTGCCAAATATGAATCGAAGTTTTAAATTGTGACCCGCTGGTTGAAAGTCGAATGCATAGAGCAACAAGCCACAGATAACATGCATATTAAATACTGAACATATATGTTTTTCTTAAGAGGACTTTGTAGGTTATTACTGCATGAAATAAAAAATCAACGGTTAACTAACCGTCTATAACATCTTCTATGGCTTCCATACGCTTAGTCCAACCGATAAGTGCAGCTTCAAAAGCGACTCTTTCCTTTGCCAACTCTTCACGTAGTTGATGTGCGAATTGATGCTCCATTTTCTCTTTCTGTAATTGTAACATATGTGAAAGATGTTCACTATGTCTCGCCAGTGCTAATCTCAATTCATGTTCTCGAGCATCACGTGCTTCCCGTAACTAATTTGAATAATATTGTACAGATGAATAATAATTATTCATGTAACAAAATACTTCTTGTGATAAAACCATATAAAATAAGCAGGCTTTTGAAAAATGACAAAAAACAGTGTACAATATCCTGACCAAGCCATAGGGAAAAATGTATAACAATAGTTAATGTGCATTAAAACTACTTTATGCCTTTTAGTCTGTGAATTAATTCTTCCGCCTTCAATTACAATCCACAATCCGTAATTGTTCCTACTATTACCGATACTACTACTAATACTACTATTTACAACGACTACAACTATTATTATTATTATTACTATTATTATTACTAACATCGTTACTTTGTTATTCATTAGTCTATGTGAATGTGATGTGGAAACATAGGTCAATAGACATATACATCGGATATGACGTTGCTTTTGACTGACTGATTGATCAAACGGAGATAGAAACTGGATGGAATTCAGTTATTTAACCAATAGTACTTCATTATACGAATAAAATAAGGTCAGATCGATGGAATTTTGAGTGCGTACAAAAATCTTCTGCAGTTTCTTGAAATACGATCTTATATATACTACCAAATGAACACAAATATAGCCATGAGGTGTTTAAAACGATTAATAGTGAAATTAAAAATCTACCTCAGTTTACCTGTGTTAGGATAATCTAGCTAATTCACACAGCGCTTCTGAGCATTCACTTAGTGATTCGTATCTAAATTACTAAAACATCTATCATCTCACTCTTCATATTTCGACAACGTTAAGTTTTAATTTTAATGACGTTTTCAACTCGGCAACTAAGTATAAATTCGTGTAAGGACAGGACTATCTAAAATTAAGTGAGTTGAGGTTCAAATTTGTGACCTGATGATTATCACCTGAGTACACAGATCATTAAGTTCTAGAAGAATAAAGCAATACACAAGAAGCCCTTTATCTATATGTTATACTGTTTGATACTTATTAGTTAAGCAGATCTTCAATCTAATGATAAGTGATAATAACTCGAAAATTAAAATCGTTATCAATCAATGTCGCAGTTCCATCGGTCTATCATTCAATAAATACAAGAGACAATGTTATGATGTTTTAATTGAAGTTAAATTATTTCACCTACCCAAAAGTTTCTTATGCAACCAGAAGTGTTGTTGAAAAAATATAATAATTAGGTAGATAGAAAACTAAATAGTCACACACCCATTTATGTCTTTCAATTTCATGTCTCGTGCGTTCTCGATTTAATTCTTGTTTGATATATTCTTTTCGAAGACTATCATCTGCTTGACGTTGTGCTTCTAAAGCTGATTTCATTCGTTCTCTTTCACTATGTTCTAAATGATCTAATTTATCTTGTAAGGAAGAGATACGAGCATGTGCCACTGAAATTAAATCATTCAACTCGTCCACATTCATTGTTGTGGAAGAGCCTAAAATAACCAATAAAATTAGTATAACAAAACAAATAAAATACAATAATCAGTGACTATTTTCAAGCAGGAATCATTGGACAAATGAAGAATATTAAAAGGAAACAACAAAATTTCATTTCATGCCAACTAACAAAAATCAACGAGATGTATTAGCATTCCTGGAGGCCTTTATTATTGTATATAAATCATGCTGACGAATTTTAACACGAAAACCTAGGTCTACAGCTTCCTACCGAGTGCCTTCAATCAACTAATACTAAACGAAATTCCAAGCTATTTACTCTGGTTGATACAATCCAACTTTATCGACAAAATCCAATCAATACTAAGGAATAAACAACAACTTCCAAGATAAGTGAAGCGATCGACACGCTCAATTACTTCACTCCCTATCATTAGTTCGGGTGTCAATGCAACCCAATCCTGAAGCAACATTTTGCATTTCGAGGGGAGAATCGCATCCCGAACATGCTTGCATTGTTGCTTAGAGTGGTCAGAAGACTCTGCATTTTGTCAGCGTCTTCACCAAATAAAACTATGTCATCAGCATATTCTAAGTCAACAAGTGAACCTCCCGGTAGAAGTTCAACCCCTGGAAATTTAGATGAGGAAAGTGTTATCTCTAAAAGTACGTCAACGACAAAGTTGAACAAGAATGGATAGAGTGGACAGCCCTGACGAACACCACTTGAGGTAATCAATTCTGATGACAGTTCGCCATAAGCTCTCACTCTACCAGTTGTGTTCGAGTAGAGAGCCTTTATAAGGTTAATGTACTTCTTTGGTACTCCTTTCAGTGACAAACACTGCCATAGAACCTCACGATCAACAGAGTCGAATGCCGCCTTAAGGTCGAGAAATACTACCATTGTGGGGCGTCTGAATGTGTGTCTGTGTTCTAGAACCTGACGTAGTGTGAATATCTGATCTATACAACCACGTCCAGGTCGAAAACCAGCCTGGTTTTCTCTAGTCTGCTCTTCACGAGCTTTGTTAGGCGTCGAAGTATTATTGAAGCTAATATTTTAGACACTATATTAGTCAAACTGATTCCTCTGTGATTGTCACAAGAGGACTTTTGTCCTTTCTTATAGACTGGCACAATCAGTGATTGAGACCAGTCAGATGGGATTACGTCCAGTTCCCAAATTCTACCTAAGACCTCGGTTAATCTCACTGCTAATACTGGACCACCATCCTTAAAAATCTCAGGAGTAAACCTGTCAGGGCCTGCTGCTCTCCCTCGCTTCAGATTTCCTATGGCTTTTTTCCACTTTGGTACGGAGGACCTACATCAACTTGCCATTCAGGTTGACTGGAGATCGTGGGAAACCGAAGTGTGGCTGAAGGCCAGTTGAACTGATCCCTAAAGTGTTCTGCCCATCGATCCAATCTCCTGGATTGAGAATGAATAATATGTCCATCTTTCTCTGAGATTGTTTCGCTAACAGTCGGTTTCCTAATTCCGGTTTCCTTAACAAGTCTGAACAATTGTCTGCTATTACCTATTGCCGCTGCCTTTTCCATCTCTCTTGCTTTCGCTACCCACCACTGTTCGCGATCATTGCGTAGACTTCTTGTCAGCTTGCGCTTAAGCTGACTCCGCTCTTCATTATGTTCAGAGCCAGGTGGAATGAGTTTCCGAGCATCTATCAGTGCGATAGATGCTGCTGAGATCCAGTGTTGCTCCCTAACCTTCTGGTTTACCTTACTAGCAGATATCACTGCTGTTTCCACAGCTTTTCGGATATCATTCCATGCTGCATCGGGGTGGGCATCACATACATGGCTGCCTAACTGTTTTCCTAGTTGTTCCTGAAATATACTCTTAGCTTGACTATCATTAAGTAGGGCCCTAAGAGGTTTCCTTGCAGCGTCTTTCCTACGTCCAGTAAGACGCAAGCAAATACGCGCTCGCACTAGAGCATGATCTGAATCTAAGCATGTGCTCCAGAATGAGCGACAGTCTTCTATCGAGCCCCTCCATCGGTGGCTGATAGCGATGTGATCTATTTGGGTCCAACGTTGGGACGAATTAGGGGGTCGCCATGTTAAAAGATGTTTTTCCTTATGCTTAAAGTTAGTATTTGCAAGGAACAGGCGGTTATCTGAGCATAGCTGCAACAGACGGTCGCCATTATCTGTTCTTTGAGCCACGACACCATAAGATCCACCTAGGTGTCTTTCCCTATCGCTTAGTTTACCTACTTGAGCCATTATTACTACATCCGAGCGCCTAGCTTTTCGGAGAAGGTCGAAGAGCTTTCTGTAAAACTCATCTTTTACATCATCTGAGCTGCAGTCAGTGGGAGAATAGGCAGAGACGACGAAGAGGCAACGACGAGTGTCCCTATCTTTCCGGATCCTTACTGTTCCGTTCAGTCGGACAGCGCACAAACGACTGTCTACTGGGATCCACTCTAAGAGAGCTAGTTCTGCCCTAGGACTCAATGCTATACCTACGCCGGCGAGGCCACGGGAAGCAGAATCAGGGCTTCCAGATACACGAAGTGTGAATCGAGTCGGTTCTTTATTTTGGCATGGTGAGGTCAGATGAATGACGCTACTCGGATCCTGTATGCGCGTCCCGTATAATTGTTATTTTTTACTTTATGGTATGATGTGGTCCGGTTTACTTGTATATAAACCAAGTATGTCTGAAATATATGATTCATATAGTGGAAGCTGGCATTTGTTTCTGAACTTAATAGGCAGGGCTAGACGAGAAAGACCAATAAGGACTTTAGAGTGCTCGTACCCGTCAACACGTCATCGGTTTGGCACGGTAATGAAACTGTATAAGTCGTATTCTGATTGGTGATCTTATCACGTGAGAATTGACAAGCCATAAGACATAACACTAAGGTTGCTTAATATTTTCTAGTCTGCTAAAGATGACTGAGAGGAAATCCTTGGATGTATATACATACAAAAAGTCAACAGATCACTATTAATATACATATAGTTAATCAACCATAGTGAAAATAGCTAGACGCTTCGACAGATTATTTAGTTATTGCATGTAGTAATATTTAATCGATTCCAAACCCTAATCATATTAAATGAAAAGACTACTTCATTATGAAATTCGACATGAGTATTTAAATCAGATGACATGATCAGGGTTCTTATTAGAAAGTTACATGATGGAAATGAGCAGTAAAATTCTTCACTATAAACTACACTCAACCAAGTACAATAGCATAATCTGCCATTGGTGGTCACTCAAAATTCTTTTGACTAATTCAATAAGAAATGTTCCCCCAATAAAGATTAAAGGCTTAAACATAAATACCCCATGATAAACAATTGGTAAGTTTCAGTAGCTAAGTGGACCTCACAAATATATGCACAGACGAGACGCGCTTATCCAGATCTACACTATAAATATGTATTTACAGAATGATATCGATAGTAAGGTTGAGGTTGAGAAACTTCCCCCAACCCCACTGCTTGGATAGGATAATGGAGAGAAGTGGTTGTATACCCTCACTCTGTTTGAGGTGACAAGCAAACTATACAAAATATTCATCATACACAGAAAATTCCTATGGTCAGTTTTACTGAGAATATATTATTAAATCACTTGTCTACGCAGTTCAAAATAATAATTAGATTATTAAAATGATGGTTTAGCAAGATGGAAAAAAAACGATGGAACAGTGAATCCAAATGTTCTGTTTCGTTCGACAGCCTAGCAGGGAATAATTCATGGATTTACTTATATCATTGATGTACATATCGTCGCAAATAAACATTTTAGTATTTCTGAAATTTATGTCTTTCATGAAGTCAAAAGCAATTATAGCAGTATTTTGGAAAAAATAGTAAAATATAATTCTATCCCCTAAATAAGTAACGTTAAATACTGTTCAGTCATTCTGTTAGCAGGATATAGATTAGATTAAAGCATATTCCGTGCAGAATTGTGTTGGAGCGCGCTGATTGGCCATTTCATAACTAATCAGTGCTAGCAGATACAAGGAGACCATAGAATCTTATGTAAAAATCACAAATATACTAACGTTTCATTAGCAAAAATGGGTGGTGGCTAGCAGTGAAATCCAGGACGCGCGTTTTTTCCTATTTGGGACTCATCAGTCGGACGTATCTGCATCCCACAATCGGTGCTCACTCCTGGACTCGAACCCAGTACCATCCGCTCTAAATTCACTTGGTGATATAGGCAAGCAGCACCATTACACAAGCAGGTGGCTATCAGGACTCAGCAGCTAAGTGGATAACGTGATGGCGTTTGAAGCGAACAGTACTGGGTTCGAGTCGTGGAGTGAACATCAACTGTGGGGTGCAGGTACATCGAGCTGACGAGTCCCAAATAGGACGAAACGCGCGTCCTCGATTCCACTGCTAGCCACCATCCATCTTTGCTTATAAAGCTTGTGACTTAAGGCACTATCAGGGCAATTCGCACAGGATGTTTATATGCCAACAAGAGACTAATCAATTTCAGTCCTAGACAACAATGGAGGATACGAGCAAACAACACCAAGTGAATTTATACTAACGTTTTCTCATTGCGATTCCTTGTTTATTTGGAGTATAATCACATTCCTGTTCAACCGTGTTCTAAATTTGGGGATATATCGAATGAAGTAATGTCCAAGAATACTAAGCAATAACATATTCTGAAAATGATCTCAGGATAGCATGATCGAGGAAGAATTTACAGTACGGATTAGTTTTAAGCACAAATCTTATCAAACGTACACAATAAAATTGTAGTTCAATTTTATCAAGTATATTTTCAATGTGGGTAGATTAACAATTTAAATAATACAAAAAATAGAACAATGATATAATAGCAATTACAAATGTTTACCTTTGCCCTGCTTTTTCCCTTCAATATGTTTCGACAAAGCTTCTAAATCATTTTGTAAGTTTGTATGCGATGAAGAAGCTAAATCACGATACCGTTTAAGCATATTAATATCGTTCTGAAGTTTTACTACCTATAACCAATGAAATCATCGAGAAAATCATAAAAGCACTTCAAATCCAGTGCGGGAGGGGGATTCAAAACATGAAGAAACTAACCGGAAAGTAAAATAATATTTAGAGGCCAACTATAATGTATTAATCTAATTTGGTCCGTGAAAATTGTCAGTCAGTCAGTCAGCTACAACGTAGGACCAGGCACATATATGCACCGGTCCAAGTTGCCATACCTCATTAACACAACAAGATGGATACCGGATTCATAAAAGTAGTTAATTCAGAGGTGGCAATATATAAAAGAAAGATTGCAATAAGGATATAGTACAGGAAGAAAGAATTAGTTCGTAGAACGAAAGATATGAAGCGATTTTAATCTCTTAGTTTAAGGGAAGACAGAGAGTGTATACACCGACGCCATTGTGATCGATTCTGAGCCATGTCACCAAGAGTCGCCAACCATCGGTTACGAAAGTCACGCGGACCCCAACCAAGTAGTCTGCATCTACCAACATGACTCAGACTACAAGTTAGTGACTTCAAGCACTGATGCCACGTTTTGGTTTGGCCGCTCCTAACTTTCTTCTAACAATCCCGAACACCGGTTAGCATTGCACGTCGTGGTAATCGGTGTTCAGGCATACGTAACACGTTGCCAACCATCTAGGTCGTTGAAGATTTACAACCTCATCAACTGATTTACCATTATTTCCTAATACCCTGCGTCTAACCCCACTATTACTTACCCGGTGATACCAGCAGACGCCAGCAATATTTCTAAGGCATCTGTGATCAAATACTAGCAACATACGAGTGTCTTCTACTCCTAATGGCCATGTTTCGCTGCCGTAAATTGAAACAGAATGGAATGCCGCGCAGTATACTCGTCCCTTAATTGATAGAGGGATATCTCATCTTTGCCATAGGTGACGTAAGTTGGTAAATGCCAAACGAGCTTTTCGAATCCGTGCTGAGATTTCGTCAGACACCAACCCATTAGGGCTGATCAGACTTCCAAGATAAGTGAAGTTGTCAACGCGTTCGACTACTTCACTTCCTATCCTTAGTTCAGGTGCAGACGCAGACCAGTCCTGAAGCAACAACTTGCATTTAGAGGGAGAGAAGCGCATTCCAAACCGACCCTCTCCAACGATGACTGATGGCAATATGGTCTATTTGAGTCCATCGTTGGTTTGGTGTAGGGGGTCGCCATGTTAGACGATGTCTCTCCTTATGCTTAAAATTTGTGTTTGCTAAAAATAAGCGATTGTCTGAGCACAGTTGCAGCAGACGATCACCATTATCTGTTCGGTGTGCCGGAATACTAAAATACCCACCTAAATGCCTTTCCGTTTGGTTTAAACTACCTATCTGGGCATTAAAGTCACCTGCTACGAGTACTATGTCTGAACGTTTAGCTTTCTGAAGAAGTTCAGAAAGCTTTCTGTAAAATTCATCTTTCACATCATCTGAGCTGCAGTCAGTGGGAGCGTAGGCAGAAACGATAAAAAGGCAACGACGTGTGTCCCTATCCTTCCGAGTCCTTACGGAGCCGTTTAGCCGAACAGCATAAACGACTGTTAACAGGGATCCACTCTAACAGTGCTTGTTCCCTACTCCTGCCAGTTCACGAGAGCTGGCCGTCGGGTCACCAGATACACGAAGGGTGTATCTCGTTGGCTCGCCGTTTTGCCGAGGTGAGGTCAAGTGAATGACCACACTGGGATCCTGTATGCGTGTTTCAGAAACACAGCATGCATCAATGGTACGAGATTCTAGGGTTCTAGCCAATGAAACCTGTTGACCGATTTGACATAGGGTGCGTACGTTGAAGGCTCCAATGTGTAGTTTGGAGCGAGGTTTCAGTAGACCTGGGACAGTGTTTTGAGCACTAGAATCGTTGGCTATGGTGACACTTGAGGGGGAAGCCGAAAAAGGAAGTTAAGAGGTGAAAGTCGACGTAGGAGGAATAATAGGAAGTGAAGACGGAGGTTGATTATGAATACAGTGGTCTTGAGTGTTGTTAGAGGTATGAGGGCGGTTATCACTTCCTGGTTGCCCACACCGTGGAAGGGTTCTTCTGGAGGTACCTGAAAAGGAAATTGGATTAGAGGTGGTCTTAGTGACCTGGGAGCGTGACCGCAGTACCCAAGAGACGACTGTTTGAGGTCGGTCACACACGACCTTTTTATGGGTAATTTTTTGTTAGCTCCGTACTTGTTGATACCTTACCACCGGAGACGGATATCCGTGGGATGAGGTTTGCATTTTTAGGGTCGATCTTTTCTAACCCCACCCCTCCTTGTGGGAAGGCAGCATCGCTGTCACGCTGGTTGTCTGAAGGAAACACCTTACTGCTGTTACACGTCTGTACAGTCAGCAGTACGACTTCGCCTTCGGACCTTAGGTTTGTTGCTTTTAGTCTTACCGCCCTTCAATCAACCTGTCTGACATGGTAGGACCTTGAGGAACGGTTGTTCCAGCCAGTATAGCTCGGTTGCTTCATCACGATAGGCATACCCGACCACCACGTCAAGCTAGCAACAACGATCAAGTGAAAATTGTCAATTTATTTTCAATTTGTGGTTTGATTATCTAGAAATATCTTGGTAAATGAAACGGTTAACAACGGTAAACATTATAAATCCATCTTGTATTGGTTGTTTGGACCTTCTCATTGACATTTAGCACTGCAATTGATCAACCTCTTATTGGCATACGTGCATCCTGTGGGGATTGCCTCGATATTGCCTCAAGTTACAAGTATTGTGAGCTAACGAGTCCTAAGGTGGACAAAATGTGCGTCCTGGATTCCATTGCTAACCACCATTCATCTCTGCTTATAATTATGTAGTCAACATAAAAATTTGAATTTATTGCTTAATTAAAACACTATTCATGTTGCAAGATTTGGCACGGTGGTAATCTTACAGGAAGTCGCATTTTAAGACAGCTTCTTAAAAAAACTAAATGACTGGTTACATCCTATGAATACGCTGGATTGATTCTGATCATATTTATATTATAGCAGCTTGAGCATGTTAGGCAAATCGCTAGAAGCGGTTAATACTGATTGGAATGCAAAGTAATCGACTGTATGTTTCACCAGACCAATTAAATATAATACGTATTTATGCCGGGAATATTAAGAATTCAATATTTTATATGCTAACATGTGAAGCCATACACAGTATACGAGCTCACTATGTATTCAGAAGTTCTTATTAACAAATCAAACAGCTTTTTTATGTCATGTCTAGTTCACTCAGCTTAATGTTTCATATACCGGTAAAAAGTTTAGATATTTCGAAGTTAGTTTTCATCATGGACTGATATTAGTTGATGAACTCAAGAGAAAAGAGAGCACTCAACAACCGTTTTGTCTTAATATCGAACTTCTCAAAAGCATGTACCTATGGTTTTGACATGGATCAAACATTATTCAACAGAAATCCACTCGTTTAAGAGTAATACAGGAAAAAAGTTTTTAGTACAAGATAATGAACTGTTACTCATCAAATGGTGTAACTCATTTACCGAGTACAAATATGTGTAGTTGAATTTGACTGGTACTAACTAAACGGTTATCCAAACCAAAGTAGGTGGAGAAGAACTAGAATCTTGGACATGCTCCCTGAAAGTCAAACACCTAGACCACTAACGTCGTCGTTATTTATCAACCTTTTCTCTGTCGCATAAACTTGGGGGAGATTCACAGAATAAAATCTACAAAGTGACGTATTCTGAAGTTTAGAATCACAAAAAAAATCGTGAAGTGTATGCCTACCTTATTGATTGATCCAGTTAAGTCATATTGTAATTTTCCATAAGATTCAATAGAATCAGGGATAATATTACTGTCAATTGCTTGTTCCGAATTCTTATGTTGCTCAATGATATGATGAAGTTCGTCAAGTTGTTGTCTAATTATTAAAGATGGGAAATAAATAAACATAATTATTCAAAACATCACGTTACAAGAAAAAAATTTAGGTATAAACCCATCGGAGATTACAAGTTGAATCCATAGAATAAAGGCGATCAAACTAAAACGTGTCATCGATCCATGAAGTCGAGTGTCGACTTGAGTATGTTGATAGATGCAGACTACCTAGTCGGGGTTCGCGCTATTATCTTAACCAATAGTTTGAGACTTTGGATGATATAGGCCAGAATCGTTTACGGTAAGGCTGGTACATTCACTCTTCAGTTTTGCTTAGTTCCTGAGTTCTAAACGATCCAATACTTTTTCTTTTTTTTCCACGAATTCATTTCTTCTCCTTGAATCACGGAGTTTATACCTAATCTTTGTACTACAATTGATAATCTTACTACTTCTACTACTAACGGATCTCGCTGTGCTGAATGGTGTGGTGACCTGAACCGATGCATATAAGTGCTAGGTCCTAAGTTGCATATGATTGACTGACTGGTAGCTTTTATAATGCTAATATTCAAAGGAAAATAGAAGTAACCTTCAGAAATCTGTAGCGATGTAGTTGAGAATCGATGATTTAAACAGCCGAGCTACTAGTTAAAATGAAGAACATGGGATATATTTTCTCCATTTAGAAATCTACTAACACAAAACTGAAATACCCCAATAAAAAACCCGAATTCAACTACCACAAACCCCAGAAAACATTAAAACAAACTAAAGATTCCGAAGAAAATTGTAGCTTAATTTACTTCTTATTTAAATATTAACAAGCGAAAATATCCATAAAATAATAAGAAAATATAGAAGTTATATTTCACAGATATTCATATTGTAAAGTGATATCATAGAGCATTTTTTAGTAAATTGATCAAGGTGTAGCATAAATATTTCTAAAAAGTATGTAACTTAATGGTAAGTTATTTTGAATATAAAAATTGAATACTGAATAAAAAGTTGTTCACAGTTGTCTCCTAGTGGTACGGGAAGCAAGAGGAAGTAGCATACACCGTTAGGACCCACTGAATAATAAGCAGTACTCGGTCAGTGACCGTACCCGATTTTCACAAGGTCAACGTGGCTAGAGAGGGATTAAAACATGTGACCGAATGGTTGACGATCAAATGAGTTAGCTACCAAACTAACCCTCCATAATAACAAATGTGCACTAAGAGGAAAGTGATTATCGACTAGAACGTCAATGTGCGGAAATTCCTGAATGATGTTGTAAAGACGGTAACAGAGAGAGAACAATATGAAAGGACAAATCTTAACACAAATATCCTATTTCTCTCTTAAAGACTGTTACAGAATTCGCTGTAATTTTATTTTGAAAATTTGAATCGCTCGCTTTCGCGAGCCCATTTTTACTTTCAAATTGTATTTCCTACTTGGAAAGACCCTAAACGTCAATGGTTGATTGCCTCTTTTAATACGCTATTTTGTGAGGTTTCCCAAGGACCTTTATACTGTATGTACACACTGGAGTTGTATGTTTGATTTGTTTGTGCTTCTGACTGCTTATATAACATACTTCCACCTCTTCTGAATCTGGGCTTCTCTCTCTAGTTAGCAGGGCTGGGACGCATTAGAATAGTTTAACTTGTCTTGTCGTTGGGTTGCTGATCCTTCGTTCCGTTTGCCGATTTTAGGTGATCTCGTAATCTCTTCAAACACAGCAACAACGCAAGTTCAAATTATCGAGAATGACAATCAAAGATTTACGATAAGATCCCCCGGTTCACTAAATTGTTTTAATAATTCGCAACTTAGATTTTATCAGCTTTCCCTCTGTTATATATATAGCTTAATGTTATCATTTTGTTTAATGAATTATTCATTGAATGATAAATCAAATTGTTGTGGATACAGAATAATATGCCAATCATTGTCATGTTAAGTCCACAACACAAATCCTGATGATCCTCTTAAAATTTAAATTTTCATCGATTCAAAGGGTTTGTGGGAATCGTTGAGTTTCGTAGTTTGCATTACGTGCTGACCTTAGTTAAACAATCATTAGAAGCCAGGAAGTGCTAGGCAGCTTTTTCGTCCTAATATAAAACTCCTTGGGAGTACGAATCCATGACATCACGATCAATGGAGTTTGATCATGTTAAATGTGAAGAAGTCTCCTACTTATAGTATTGGAAGAATTGACTGAAGTTATAAATGTAAACAATTAGATGTCGAATCAATGGTCTAAAGGTTAAGTGCTCACAGCAAGATATTATGGTCCTGGTTCGGTCCCTGGGAGAGTCGTATTTGTGCATTACTGAAAAATCCCATACTAGGATGCAACAACTTTCCAGTGCTTTCGATGGTTGTCTAAGGTCAGTTCGTGATGAAAACAATAAAATTCACACTTTATTCATTTATCCACATCATGTGAATTTATATTTAAATGATGGTCCCCCACATTCAAAATACATAACACTTACGAAGCTTGTTGGACGATTTTTTCCACTTGTTCTTCTAACATATCTTTTTTCAGTTCTAGTTTTCCGACAAAACCCCAGTTTTTCTCTTTCGAAATTAACTAAAATAAAATAGGAAAAGGTTCAAAAATCAAATAAGGATGGTTTGATTGTTGGTTTGATGGTGGAAACCTAGAATCATAGAGCAAACAGTAAAACAAACAATAGAAAATGTGAAGTAAATTAATAACAATAACAGTCTTGATGGAATCGAGAGTAATTTGAACACTGAAAAAGTGCACACGAACAATTAATACTTATCAGTTATTTGCAGAGCGAAACGATATTTCCTGATGAGAGACTCAAAAAAAAACGGGTTAGCATTGATGATCTCATTTAACTTAAGAATGTGATCAAAGATACCGGTGTTTTGAACTACTTACAGTTGTTTTTCATAATAACTCCATACATTTTAAAAATTCATGTAACAATAGCTTGTTCTACTTTAAGAGTTAACCGTTTGTAATTGAATCATCTGTTTATTAAAAACTCGTATCATATATTTCGTACAACCAATGAAATAATCTTATTATTGAAGCTATTTTAAGCTTTTAATTGGTGTTAGACACTGGAATATCTACATAATGTACTCTTATTATCAGCTAATCGACTTACTCTAAAGGATGAAGTACACCAGACAGTGTTATGGAAAATGCGTTAGGAATTTTGAAGTATTCTTGTGGTTTTTATTGAATTCAATGCGGACGATCAACTCCCCAATCAATATGCAATTTCTTTTCTAGGTAGTAGGCTGGGTGTTGTAACAAGTTTTAACTTGGAATTTCGGTAGCAAATTACATTACTACATATTAATGACGATTTCTTAATTGCTGAATGTTATATAAGGCTCCAACACATTAAAGCTAGTAACTAAATGCAGGATTATATACTTAGTATTGAGTCATACCTCTCTTTTCGTAAAAGCTAGTCATACTACTTAGTGACTTGAATTTACGTAGGTGGGACGATATTCTAATTTGAAATTCAGTAGATGAGTACTATAAGCACCAAGTAGCCACTTTACGTACATCACTTGGATACTGAGTTTTATTAAGTTTTTTGAGCATTGGTGGTTAAATGTGATTAGTACAATTGACTTTCAACTACTGAGTGATTGGTTTAAACTCCAATTGATCTACTTCAGTGGGAGAAGCCAGATAGCTGTACGTAAAATATTTCTGTTTCAAGTAAATGAATATGCACTTCATTACTGAAAATAACTGTGAATGCTTAACAAGATAATCAGATGTGATAAAGTGATAAATATTTATAGACACTAATTAATAAATGAACTAATCAGAATATGTAGTTTAAGGATTGATAATACTAGAATTAAATCCATCGATGCATCAAATAAGCTGGAGAACGATTCAAAGACAAGAAGTACTATGTATAAACTGGTGACTCAGTAATTGAAAGTACAGTCCATCAAACACAATAACTATTTAGCTCTACCTCATTGCAGTGATTCCTCAGCTAACATCAATACGTTACAAAAATCACTTTCAAATTATAAGACACCGTCACAAAGCCACTTTGACACTTGATCTTTTCTTAACGACAAAAATTCCAATGTTGTACTGTTACATTAATGATGCCTTTTTTATAAAGGAAATCGGTCAACAAAACATAAAATTAAGTGAGACAGGCATCATTACTAATAGTAGAAGAAACGGCAGTATTATTATACTATGATCAACATATGTGGCCCCTTCAAATTACAAGCCAAATTTGCTTCGTGCAAAGACTTACAATGCTAACAAACAATCATGATTCAGTCAAACTATTTAATTCTACAAGACTATTGTATTTACTATGTATTTATATGAGGGAATAAAAATGAAAATATCAATGAAATATTTAACTCATAAGAGTATAAGTTATAGATTAAAAAATTTTTACATTGTTATCTTGTACAGCAATAAGCAGTGCATCGAGATATTTCTCAATAACATGTTCAAATTCTTTCAATTTAGTTTTGGCACTCTCCACTGTACTTTCTACATCCCTCACAATGTTGGGTAGTTCATCTGAATAAATGAAACCGCAAAAATAAATGAAATAAAACAATAAGTTGTGGGAAAAAATTGAGCTGGGCTATTCAAGATGGTTACGTTTATTCCACTGTTAGTTGGAAATTACCACTTCACAGTGGATTATGGTATTATCGTACTACCCAAATCAAGGTTTGTGTAAAACATGATTTGAACTGCTGCTTGAACAGTTACTTGGGTATGAGCCACATTAAGTGCGAGGGTTGATGATGCTACCCGGTTGCCCGAATTGAAGTACGCGGAGGTTTAAAAACTAGGACTTTGTGGTTGACACTTGAGTCTTAACCACTAAACCACCACTCCACAGAGTGTGTATAGCTATGATACAGGCTCAATTTAGTGTTCGATAAATCTGAACAACAATAATCGTAGTAAATCGCCTGATGATAAAAAGACTACACATTAAAAGCAATCGAGATCCTCCAAAATCGATAAACAGGAAAGATTATGTTCGGTAAACTTGTCGATGACGACGAGTGATAGATTCATAACAGAAACGATTAGAAACTAACCACCTAGTGTGTGTTAAATCAAACTGCCAAAGTTCGTATTATTACAGGGGTGCGAAATCAATAAACCGTTAAAAAAGTGACAAACAATTTCAACATTGATATAAATCTAGAGTAGAAGAATAAAAAAATAAGTGAATATAGGAAATGAAAAGTAGATTAATGCTGGAAGGGAAACATAGAGATTGATGCTGAGTACTCAAGATCATTACTTACTATGGCAGTTGCCTGAACCATAACAAGTAACCTAAAACTTTTCCATACCATACATACACAGTGATACTAACCAAAATCGGTATTAAATCTTGTTGCAAATACTCATAATCAGTCAGTCAGTCACAACACAGAACCTGTACGTATGTACATCGGTTCAATTTACCATAACCCATTAGCATAGAGGTGAAGTTTTCAGGCCAAATCCCTGAATAGAATAGTAGAGGTAGTGACAGTAATAGGAGAAATTAGAGAGAATAATAAAAGAGATCGGGTATAATATTTCTTGAAACTAGTTTTACCAAACCACTACAAAATTCTGTGCTTTAAGAGCCTCCTACGTAAAAAACCTATTCTTAACTTAACCAATGTGATCATTTAGAAAATGAGTCCCTCTGAAAACTTTACATGGAGTGAGAAGACAATGTTAAAAAATAAGGTATTCTCTTAATGTTGGGGATAATCTTAAAAAGCAAATACGATGGATATGTAATTAACCTAAACTAAGCCAGTATTAACAAAAGATTATGGTGGACAACTCTATTGAGAATAATCAATCTAGTCAATCTAGTACAAACATCAGTTTCAGCAATAAAAGACATGACTAACAATAATAATTGAAAGCAGAAAAAGAAACTAAACATCTGAGAAACTTACAGAAGTCTACGTTCATCACCGGCACATGATCACGTTTCTCTGTCATATCTTTAACTTCTTCCACAGTAGGTAGTGAACGCTTTTTTTCTTCAATCTAAAATTAACAAACACCGATATTTTATGAAAAAAACACTCGATGACAACACGCAAATCAGTTAGAAAATAATAATAATAATAATAATAATAATAATAATAATAATAATAATAATAACAGAAAAATAGTGCATAGAATGACTAAATAACAATGGTTTGATGCTTGAGAATAATTTATTGTAGTATTTCTGCAAGTCCAAATAATTACAAAATGATCAACAAATGCATTTGAAACCCAACTTATCTACTTTAGTTCTGAACAGTATAATTAGCACACACAAAAACTGTAGTTCAATAACGAGCAGATAAACCTAATTGGTAAGTGAGTTGCATTGCACCAAATTGTTAGGACCTGGCACAAATGTGTATTGATTCGTGTTCACAAATAAATACGCTCAAAGCGAGAATAGACTAGAAATATTAAAGGCGAATGATTTGGAATAATCAGATCAATGGAAGTGGGCAAATGAATATAAGAATATGGCTTAAGAACAAAAAATGAGATTGAATGATGAAAACCCTAAAATGAAACTATGCTCAAGATTAAACAAGAGATAAATAGTGAACGACTTCGATACAATTGTAATCGGGTTTGAGGTATAACAACTCATTACAGTCACTTTGCGGAGCGTATGCTGAAAGCCTATACTCGCCTGTACAGTTTGGACTAAATATATCCCTAACGTCAAGATTTCAGATTGAAAGATTGAACTTGTAAAGTAAGATCATGACGTTAGAGTCTAATTTTGTTTCCTTTCATTTTCCACTAAAAACAGTACTTAAATTGTATCTCTTCGAAATTGAAGAGGTTAATGAATTGGTCAAATAATTCTAACGAATGATGCTGAAAATATACGTAGATTCGTGAAAACCATGGGTATTTTACACCTGTTACAAAAAATAATCAGTGAGGAAAAGTTTAAACCCACATTAACGCTTCATCAATGAATATACAAGCTAACTCCATAAAATTATAATTAGTAAAAACTAGAAATACTATTAATTTGCATAACAATAGCCAAACACTGCATATACAAAGATAATTTCATACCTTTTATACAATGTAATGAGCCGGTAAATGTTAAAGTACAACATTTTTATGTTAACATTAACTTGTTATTTTTTTCGATCAAAACTACAATATAGGTGGTAGAACGGAGTGATGAATATCATAAGTCTCGTAATATTTGTTACAGTAACTTACAATAACAGGTTCTGAACTGGCCACAGAATTCACCTGACTGATTGACTCAGAATTTCGTCTTGAAAAAAGAGTAAATAGTAATAAAGACCAATAAAGTATGTACTAAACACCTGGAATAAACTATATATGTACAACTTACTATCCGAGTGACAACAAATTTTAATAAAAGTGTATCACGATGATTACCGAGTACCACATTTATTTGTTATAGTTAGTGCAAGCTGCTTTTAGGTATAGTTGATAGAAAGCCGTAAACTCAGGTCTTATGTTTCTTGATACTTGTGACTAAAGTTCATACTTTCATCATTTGATTCATGATTAGTGGAATCCAGTAAGCGCATTTTGTCCTATTTGAGACTCGTCAGCTGAATGTACCTGCATCCCAGAGTTGATATTCACTCTAGGACTCGAACCCAGTAACGTTCGCTTTAAACGCCATCGCGTTATCCACTTCGCTACCATGATGCCCCCAAATGCCCAGGTATGATCGAGAGTGGGGTGGGCCCGCCCTTCCCCTCGAAACGCTCTCACGCGGCAACGTGCATACTGCCTCTGCCAGGGAAGTCCTACTCACTGCCTTCTCGCGGTGGGGGTGTTGTTTATAAATTTGAGAGGAAGAAAGGCGAATGTCCTGCGCTTTACTCGGGCTGGTGAACACGGAGAATCCACCCTGATTCCAAACTATTGGTGCACATGGGTTTCGGGATCTTAAGAAAACAAATGGTGGATGAACCTATTGTTGGTCACCGACTACTATGGGACAGCATCTCCTTACGTTGCTCCACTGCCTTGTGGATTAGACCTTTAAGTCAATGGCTCAGGATGTGGCCCCCTAAGTAAACCACCTGCTTCGGTCTGGGCACCCGGGCAGTATCACAACCCTCACATAAATCGAATGGAGAAGTATGGCGCATATCTGTTTGGTGCCTCCTTGTACCAATGTTTATGTGTTTCAGTAATTAAATAAATAAATAATTTCAACCACAGGACTCTATGTTCACACTGCCTAACCTAACTTGACTTGGGCATCTGAGTAGCATGATATATACATTCAAAGGGTGATTGGAAGTTGAGTATAGTAACATTAAGTTTGTTGCTGAATACCATTAGTTAAAATGCACGGAAGAACGAGGAGATTAGTGATGTACAGACAAAATCATGTTTAACAAACATCACCTAAAGATATTTTATGAGATTATGTAGTTTACAATAGCGTTCAAAATAAAAGATGAGACAAAAAGACATGAGTAAATTTTAGAATATCAAAAAACGCCGAGGAAACGCATCATTAAGATACTGGCTGAATATATCAAGAAATGAAGATTAGTTCACGAGTATGAAGTCCTCAAGATGGTAAACGTTTCCGAACAGACACAATGGGTTATGAGGTCCTAAAATGTATGCAGCTGAATATTATTGGTGATCTTTTTTCACTGTTTAGCTATCATTAATTGGTTTTTGTATTCTAGGTTTTTCCCCTTATGAGTAAATAGTAGGACAAAGCAACACTGCATATTTCCGGGGTTTCTAATTGATCCAACTAAGATACAATTACAAAAATATGAAAAGCATATTGAAGAAACTCATACCAAACAATATTAAAGTTAGGATTTCGGAGTTACTAAGCGAAAGGTTTGATCGAGCCGGCTTTTAACACTGCATTAGTACAGCGAAAGAAATCAACAAGATGAGCGTAAGACGTGAAATAATATGGATTACAATAAAAAGCTAAGAGTGAGAAATGTAGCTGAAAAGAAAAAAGAGATTGAATGATAAAAAGAGATGAAACTTAAGATTATGACGAAGATATAAAATGAAAACAGATGTCGCAGTGACCCATTTAAGCCCACATCAACCAACATCTCCCGATATGAATTAGTTGTTGCACGGGCTCGGGCAAAGAAACCCACACTTTTCCTTACGCCTAGATCCAACAGTTAACGACTTCAAGAACCGATACCACAGCTCGACTTCCTCAGATGATAAACAGTATTTAAAAATTACTTTAAAATGCACACAGATGGTTTGATACAAATTTCCTAAAAGAAATACATTTAGTCCATCACCAATTATTTAGTGTGCGAGTAATGGCGAATTCTGGAGATGTTTTACTTTCATTTTCCTTAATTATGGAGAAAGTATTTCAAATATTACTAGTTGTAAAGTCACTTTCAAACCTAAAGGAAATAAATATTTCTCACTAATCCCCTGAAAAGATCTCAGCGACGAGTCAGACAAGTAAATTTACAAGCGTAAAGAACCTAAACCCTGTAAAACAAAATACTACACCCTTAAAATACGAAAGACGATATACTTACTTAGGTGGAAGTGGAAAATCACCAATAGGAACAACCGGTTGTTCAGCTTTTGGACCAGAATACCAACCTCCAATTGAATTTTCGACCACATTTAGTATATCCTTAGAAGGTGGATAGTATGAAATCAATTCATTTCGAATGGTTTCAGACACGTAAACTAAGCCAATAAATGAACTGATTGATATCAGACTCAAAAACAGTAACTTCCGGAAAATTCTTCGGGGTTTGGTTGGAGGAATAGCGTTTTCAGAATATGAACTGGTAGTTCTGCGATTTATGTGTGAGACAGAAAAATATGACAAAGTATTACTTCCACTAATAGACGACGAGAAATGATGACCGGAAATATAAAAAGTAGGCGCCGTACCAAAGTAAGGACGCTGTCTTAATATGAAAACTGAAAACCGAGTAGTGGGTAGTGGGTAGTTATCGATCATCACGTTACAAAGTCAACACTTAGATGTCATTTATTACCTTGATATGATAGTTTATCTTGATAATTCAAGTGACCCGTATGACATATAGTGCTTCTGGTGTAACCACTCTTTGCAAAGGTCAACTGAGAAATAGGAATGAAAGAAAGCATTATGGTTATGCAATTGATTTGTTTCGTAATCGAAGTTTGACGGTATAGTCACACAGTAAAATATACAGAAATATGGCAATAAGGAGGTATTTCCCCGAAATCTATGTCCCTTTAACACTATCCACAGACAGTAGAAGGTTATGATGGAATCGGAATTAAAAAACTTTATTTCGCCTTGCTAGAAAAATTTAGTGACTTTGTAAGGTATCCTAAAGAGTAAATGAAACTACGATATACATCAAAATGTTTGTGTGTTGATGATGTAAGACTGGCCAGTCGATCCTTCAGACATATCAATGTGTTTTAAAGCCCCTTGAAAGTTGATAGGTGACGAGACTTTAAATTCATCAAAAAAATTTCAGCTCGAAACAATTAGAGCCTCATAAATAAACGTATCTGTTAATCAGGCGATTAGCGGATGTGTTAAATCAGTTGCTTTCATAACGCAAGGAATATTACACACAATGTCTATAAATAGGAAATATAAGGACAGTACCCGAATGATGCAAACTACTCACCTCGTCGAAAAACTGGATAAAAAAGGATTGTTTTTGAAGAGTCTTGTCGAGATAGGATATTTCGCATAATTATAAATTTGGATGTTTGAGGCTTTCTAGCATGTTTATGATGAGTAATTTAAAATAAAAGATCTTACCAGCCTCAATAGAACAATCATCACCAGTAGCAGTAGCGTCAAATTAAATCAGTGCGCCTATGGATCATGCCTCCAACAATTGGATAGAAAACTTTCTTGATATCTGTGTTCCACTTGTAGTAGAAGGACAATGGTTACGAAAGGATATGATTCTCATTCGTATAGCTTAGTAACTTAAATTATTAAAACAACAGTTGTAAATCAGACTGCTGAAGGCAGTATTTTAATCTCCGAACGAAAGGGAATCAATACCATAAAATGACTGTTAACCATATGCACCAAGGTTTTTGCCCTCAAAAGATTATCTCTCGGTGACCATATAAAAATGAGTAGCCGTAAATCACGAAAACTAAGATTAATTGACTGTGAATGGTCCTCAGAATGATAAATTTTTAGGGTAATGAAACTTCAAGAGAACGATATCTCAGAAATTTTGAATGCATGGCAAAACCATTTTATAGTTTTTCAGTCTGTTATAAAAATGTCCAAAGCTTTTCAACAAATTATCTGACCTAGGTGTGCTGGCGAATTCTACTAGGCCACATTTAACAGCAGCCACAGGAATATGCTGACATAGTCTGTAGACAATAGAGAACTTGACTCTACGTTAGTAAGAGCCGATAAGATTGAATAGCGAAAAGTAGAAGATTTATTCACTAGAAATAATATCCACTCTATTGTTAACGATAACATAACGTTTGAAATGCAAGGGACAAGAGCAGCTGAATAGATCGTAATACTGCAGTCTAAAAAAAGTTGGCAGAGATTTAGGATACTAGATAATAATGCGACAAAATCTCAATATCAGCATACCAGAAATATTTTTTGCCTTGACCTTACGCAAGTCTAGAAAATTGTACGAGGAAACTGTTTTCAAGTCTACGAGACCCGATGAACGAACAAGCGCATTTTATCCCCAGTCTTTGAAGCAAATCCTTTAATATGTATATGACCCAAGTAATGCTTACAAAATACTGGTGGACCATCATATTAAATCCTGTTTTCAAAGTAAGTGCGAGACGAATCTGAAAATAATCAATTCATAAGCCTAAACGGAGTGGCTATTATAACTTTATGGAAGATTATTTGGAAGCTGATAAGTATCTAAACAAAAACTCAACCCTTTCCGAAAGGTGGCACCGTTTCAAGTCGGGTTATTCATGTCTCAGAAACTTATTAGTAGTCCGTGAAAGTCGTGCTCAAAGGGACTTAAGGCTACCTATAAATGTAGTTATCATTTACTTTAGTAAAGCTTTTGATGAAGCCCACACAATACTGTTATCTGAGTTAAGTGATATCAAGATTGGAGGTAAATTACTTGTGTGGGTAAAGGACTTCCCAGTTGGGCGTCAACTCCAGGTTATCTGTCTGATGAACTATGTCATTCCTCCCATTTGTATATAACTTTCCTATTCTATCATTGGCTTCATTTATGCCAACAGTGGCAAGATGTAGAGAGCGATGACAAAGGAAGAGCTTCAGAATGACCTGGAGAGACTACCTGAATGGTCTAGAATTCGACAGTTTCCGATAATTGCTTTCGAGTGCATTAGGATGCACATTGGTCACCAGATTACAAAGACACATATAGCGAACAACATTGAGTTACCTTTTGTCTCGACACACATTGACGCAAGAGTTATCTTCAGCCAAGATCCGAAAATCACTGCACACTGCTGTGCAGTAGCTGCTAAGAGTTTCAGAACTATCTTGTCAATACATAGAGTATTTAACCATGTATATGCTAAGACCTTCTTGACTTTGTATACGATGTTTGTTCATCCTAAACTCGAGTACTGCGTACAAACAGCCAGCCTCTGCCTGAAAATGAATTGAGGTGTTGTAAAAGGTTCAAAGAATGGCCACTGAGTTGACATTTGGAATGTTGAGGCTGCCATATGACGAGATACTGGCTAGAGTAGACGTATTCCCCATTTTGTATAAAAAGGGGCTGAATTGATTCGATCGTTATTTCCAAATTATTTAACTATAAATTCGCTTCTGATGCACTTTCACTTTTCTTGTCTCCCAAATTAGAGAATTTACGAGAATACTAAAAGCGTTGACAAGCCCAGAACAAACTACTTGTCAGGTGACCATTGACTTTCCTATGGAACCATCAACTAATGAAACTAGTCAGCTAAACATGTGATTGAAGCTCCATTCATGGACTCATTCAAAAAACGTTGTATCAACTGAGAGACCACTATCGTCATGACCATGACAACTTATCCAGACTCTTTACCGAACTGAAACTAACAGAAGAAATACTCAGAAAATCTCTCTGAAGTAATTTGTTGAACAATATAGTCGCTTCGTTGTTATTTCGCCGCTTCTCGTATTTCAACCCTCAGGACTGTTGTGATCATATTTTACGGTTCTCAATGTACGTTTTCTTGGCCTTATTGATTGAGATCTACATTTAACATTCGGTTTTCTGTTGTATGTTGTCAGAGTATTGATGGTTAGGTCATGTTTCGCAGAACTGAAGGTTACGATGTGGAGCGTTTTGTGATTGTCCTCTGACTTTTAGGGTCAGTTCATCGAATATTTGGTGGCAGATAGTTTATCTTATTGCTTCTGAAACACCCTTATTGGTTCTCAGGTGTGTAACTTTTTTTTAGTAACCTTTCATTTTGCCACTGAGCACATTTTTGAGCTTTGAAAACTCCCGAATATATAGCTCATGGTGTACAATTTAGGTTTTTTTAGTGTTTCTCATATAATTCGTTTTCTTTTTCATTACGGCCGGTCAAATTAGGAACAGAGTTAGTGTTTTGAGATAACTTCATACAAGGAACTCACAAACTCTTTGTCCAGGAAACCTTAGTCCAGTCCAATCGAAAAAACGCTTTTTGTTAGCTCTGAGTTAAAACGAAATATTGGAATTTCGCCAGTTACACGTATCAAGAAATAAGGATTTTGATGGGATGAAACTCAAAGTAATCCTGCATACTATCGTTTAAACCAATGGGAATATTAAATTTACAGATTCTAACGACGAAATTGTACTCGTTTGCAAACTATGTTATGTTGATGTCTACTTAATCTTAGGTTAATTGTGATCCTTGGAAAAGATTTATTAACTTGTGGAGAACTGTTAGATATGATACATCATCACTATCCTTCTGTACTGTACATGGAAGCTTGGCAGAGTCTATCACGTTGTTCGAATAACTTTTCACCCGTTGTTCCTTAGAATTGTTTAAGGAGAACGTCGTTCCTCTTGGGCTAATGAAATGAAATTTAGAAAACTTCTTCTGGTGAAGTCTTGGATGAGTAAATATAATTGTTTCGAATTGTTAAAAATTCGTGCGGCCTAAAGTTCTGAGTAGGAACATATATATTGTGTTTGCTTCAGGATCTGGTTATAAATCGCATCCAATTATACTGTTCCTCTTTTCGGTAGATTAAGTAGGGCATAGAGTTTTAGAGTTGATGTTTCCGATCTGCTTAATCTATAACTATCTCCACAATTTTCAGAAGTGGACGCAGTCAAAAAACGAGTTTTCACGTGCGTAAAATCCTTTTGTAATGCACTGCCAAATATGTTGATGTGCATTTGTGAACGTTCTCTAAGCGGATACTTTTCTGAATGGTGGTACATTATTTTATCTTTAGAATATAAGCTTACAATTTTCGGCACTCTTGTTCACTTTCTTTGACTACATATTGACTGTAGTTGTTCATTTGACTCGTACCTAGTGTTCCACTTTATTCGCAGATCTTTAAGAACTATACTAATTTTATTTTATTTGCTGTTTTCAGTTCAAGGCTGCCATATTGCTCCTCTAGGTTTTATCTTTTGCTGCTTCAGTCGACCTACTTTTTGAAGGTAGCCTTATCAAATTGTTGGACGTAGCTTCCCTAATTTGGAATGTTATCAATTTTTATTATTTAAAGGTTTGATTGACTAATTTTTTTACAGCTTAATTTCAAAGTAGTTGTAGAACGTTTTTAGCTTTTCACCATTGAGAAGCTGAGTTGTTTGGTTGTTACCCGATAAACTTTTTCCCTATTTTATCGACAACGTATTTGTTTTTTTATAATTAACTACGTTTTATTCCTTTGACAATTTGTATGCCTGAAATTCTTCCATATCTTATTGTACAAGTTTGCTTAGAATAACTGCATGCTGTAGAGCCTAATACAGTTAACCACTTAAGTATTTCTCTAGAATGTGTATTTACGACGAATGTGGTTAAAAACCACCGAATAGTTGTGGTTTGAATTTACTAGTACAGAAGTATAATTATTTGGTGTTTCACAAGAGGGCATGAAGGATCCAATAAGACGAAACGACCTTAATCTTCGTTTACTGAATTGTCACACTTGATTTACTGTCAGAAGGTGGTTTATCCACATTGACGAAATCTGTAGAAGTGATTGAAACTACAAATCAAATTAAGTCTCCCCATTCCCACGAAGCGTTCTTTAAATTTTACCTGAAACGATAAATTTCTAAGGTACTCTCATCACGTTATTTGACACAGGATAACAGGATAACGCCCCTATAAACAGAAAAAGAAACTGACATTAGAACTTACTAAATTACTCCTCCAGTCATAACCAACTTCATGATTCTAAGAACTTGCAATAATTCATTCAGAGATATATGTGACTACCCATCTTCTACAACTTTTAAAAGACAACTTCTCACTAAAATGCCCTATCTATATGCTACTTTGTTCATCCCGCTGATCCTCCCGTGCCATGTGCAGTAAACTGAAGTAGGTCAAAAGGCCAATTACTCCCTTTCTATTAGTCAAATTATATCAATAATAAGTCATCATTTCCTATCCAGCCGAGTTCTTTAGATATGTGTTGTAGCGGGAAAAAGATTTTTTGGATCACGGCTTTAGAAATTTCGCCAAATGGCTTGCTTGTCCTCGCTCTATAGAATATCTCTCGTATAGTAGGGTTACGTTGAAGCAAAGTATGTTTCTCTCTCAACAACAAGACGTTTGCCGGCGTTATCATTTTGGGATTTATAGGATATCTTTAATAGTAACTATTATCAA